AATGTTCATATTAGTTTTAAGCAGAAATCTTTAGACATTTTAAATCATCATGTTTTTATTTTTCCTATCTTTTTTTGGTAAAACAGAAAGTTCACTTACCTAAAATCTCCTCTGAATCGTATAATAAAAATGATATAAAATTAACACATTATGCAATTAGAAATATGTTTTCGATTAATATAACTTTTTACAAAAATTGTTTAAATTATTTTTTTAATTTAATTATAATAATTTATAAAGTTTTAAATCTTTTAAAATTATTTCTGAATTAGTACCAGTTAAGTGATATTGTTAAGTAAAAACTACATTTACTTATCATAAACAGAAAACCATAATACAATTCAACGACAGCCAGTATGTTAAAACTAATTTTGATTTTTTTCTATATGTATAAACGTGCCGATTGTTCTAAATACGGATGACCATACACGATATTATCATAAAATAAAGCGCGGTAGCTATAGTAAATTTAAAGCCAAAGTACCTAAAATTAAATAAAATAATAAATTACTTAGAACATTTTTTAAATTCTTAATATTTACTTGTTATTTAAATAATTATATAAAAACTCGCCCACGTTATATTCAAGCAGTCATGTGTAGTGTAGAAAAAATTTCCAAACATAAGTCTAACGAGAAAGTTGTCAAATAAAACACCAACCTCTGTATTAAAAAAATGCCTTTCTGCGATATTTCAAATAAAAATAATATTTATTTCAAATCAGATTGAACTTTAAATCAGCTAATCTTTCTCAAAAAAACTTTCAGAGAAGAAAATGTTATTTAAAAAAAAAAAAAATTTAAAGAGAAATACACTGTGCTGAGAGAATTGGTTAAAATCAGACATTTTTACGAATTAAAGAAAATAATAATTTCGAGAAATTAATTTCGTTTTGAAATACAGTAAAGTATTTTGTTTATTGGAAAATAATTATATTGAATCTGTTAGCTTGAAAGTAAAATAAAAGCTCCAATAAAGCTTTTTAATTAAAAAACAATCATTTTAAAACTTCAGCATCGCTTTTCTTTGGAAGTACAAAACACACACAACACACACACACACACACACACACATATATATATATATATATATATATATATATATATATATATATATATATATATATATATAATGTATTTAGCCAGCAATCCCTCGTTTATACAAGTTTCTGCAAAAATTAATAACAAGCTACTGTGGTAAAGATTTTTATTAATTTCTCTTATGTTCTTACACTTTTTTTCTTTTCTGGACATAAACTATGAAGAAATTCTTCAAATTTTCTATATGTTCGAGCGCTTTCGACTATTCTTCTAGCCATTATCAAAGATAATTTTATTCTTACTTTTAAGTGAATGTGTGGATTTTTTTATGTATCTGTCTAGTATTTTAGGCAGGTTATCGAAACATTATTAATAAAAAAAAAGAAAAATGCCAACACCCAATAATATCAACTATGAACGTGGCCACAATGTATTGACTGTGTTTGGAAAATAAAAACATTCCTCTAACTCTAGATACATACATAAAAAAATCCATACATTCAGTTAACTGTAAAGAATAAAATCATCCTTGATAATGGCTGAAAGGACAGTGGAAAACGCTCGGACATACCGACATTTTCGCACAATTTACAGAAAAGAAAATCTGGGCCCCATCCTTTTACTGTATGAATAGTTAAATGTCACCGCCCCTTCTACGCCAACATTCTACGCCAACATTCTACGATTCTTTTCCTGCACTTCCCGCCTGTGGAACTCCCTTCCGTTTTATCGATTTCTTCAAAAATTTAAATACGTCAATCTTTCTTCTTGAACCCCGTTCAGATTTTATCCTTTCTTACCCACCCCCACAACCCTCTTTTTTCACTCGCCTTTCTTCCCTATAATCCCCTGCGTACTAGTGACATTCTCGCATTGCTTGGTTTGAAATGATTTTAAAAAAAGAAAAATTAAATAAAAAAAAAACTTATCCTCAGTACCTTGTTAGTCGTTTTTTAACGAAACTTTGAATTTGATACCTTTACAATCTCTTTTCTCTCTCTCTCTCTCTCTCTCTCTCTATATATATATATATATATATATATATATATATATATATATATATATATGAGGAATCTAAATGGAATAATAAAAAAAAACGAAAGAATATTAATCTACAACCCAGTGTGTCTAAAGATTTTAATTTTTATTTTTTATTGTTCAATATATATATATATATATATATATATATATATATATCCGATGCAATGAGAACGAAAATAATATATAAATTCTAACGTTCAGAGCATTAATGCAAAAGAGGGCTCGATACTGATAGTAGAGCAATATTTTTTTTCCTCAAACTAATGGAAAAAAGTTAGTGACGTTTCACATACAGCCTGCTTACAAACAGAATTGTTCATAGCCAATTTTGGTTCTCACCAGAGGAGGTGCAATTGAAATGCACCGAAACGATGTTGCATCTTTGTAGTGAGTAAACTGTTTTTATCTATATGTAAAAATTATAAGATAGATAGATAGATAGATAGATAGATAGATAGATAGATGTAGGATGGATAAATGAAACAGGCGTGTACGCGTGTGCTGGTGTGCATACGCAGGCAAGCAAATAAATAATCGTTAAATTTATTCATAAGGTGTAAACCTAATAGTGCCCTATGCGGTTATACAGAGCAAAGATATATTTTAATTAGTACATATACGCGTACCTACGTTTTTGGCGTACGGTGGGTACGTAGATACGCATATATGTACTAATTAATATATATATATAGATATATATTAGCCAGAAACAGCCCGTGCGCATGCACCAACATGATAATTAAAATTTTGAGAAAATATGGCATATTATATAGACTGTTGTACTCATTGGGGAATAATAATAATAATAATAATGTTATTAAAGACCACAAACAAAAAAGTGCCTTCTTATTGATATGGCAGTCCCTGCTGACTGCAATGTATCTTTGAAGATATTCAAAAAGTTGTCAAAGTACAAGGACATTGAAATAAAAATCTCAAAAATGTGGCATATGGGAACATCAACAATCCCTGTTGTAGTTGGAGCCCTAGGACTGGTTGGAAAAGATTGCAGTAGACTAATTGAAGGGATTCCTGGAAGTCCATGCCTCAAGGAGATACAAAAAATTGTTCTAACAAGTACAGCCCACACTTTACGAAGGGCTTTATCTATGTAATTTTTTTTTTTTTTTTTTTTGTCACTGGAAAGTGTCATGATGCCATTTCTAACCTTAGGTCCCTGGGCGGGGCCCGGAAAGAAATGTGTAAACGCCAGAAATCAAAGAAAATAAAAATAATAATAATAATAATAATAATGATGATGATGATAATAATAATTTTAAAAAGAAAATTACCACACGAGAAATGACACCAGTAAAAATCATATCAAATAAGGACCTCGCTATCCACACCAGCAGCCACCACAACAACAATGGTAAGGATAACAAAAACAAGAATTTCAATACACTCTCTTCATTAGCATCATCAGTATTAACTAGAATAATAATAGCCCAAACCTCTTTACCTGCATCACTGCCACCACCAACAACAATCTCATTACGAATACCATCATTATCAAAAGCAATCATAACAATTATAAGAAAAATAACCTGACAAGGACAACCTCCATCATCATCATTAACAATAACTACAGAAATAGTAAAAATTAACCTCCTATCTACCTCTAAAATCCACTATAAAATATATAACAGTAATAATTAGAATTTCCTTACCAGCACCACCACAACGATCACTGCCAATAACAACAATAATAAAAAGACGAAAGACAGCATCGAAACAATGATACGCATATATTAAAAGCAATGTCTATCTATTTGCTGGTGGAACACTCACCTACGTCACCTGAAGTAGAATTGCATAAGATTGCGGCAAATTGTCGCTTTTTATGTCGTGGATTCTTCTGTTGATATAATAGCAATGTCACAATTCTCTTTTGCGAGAAATAGTGTGAAAATAAAAGTGTGATTGCCTCTGTAGCTAAATAAACTTTTACAGTAAGCTATTTTAAAATATATCTATATTAAATGATATAAATATATCTAAGTATATAAAATATCTATATATCTAAATGAAAAATATATATCTATATTATATTAATGGCAATTTTTTTTTAAATTATTACTAGGGGAATTTTGACTTAATTTAGCTATTTGTTTAGTTTTAATTGTGTAAGTGTTGGTTATATATAAAGAAATCTAGAGCAACATAAAGATTTTGATATTTTATGAATACAAGGTAATTGTAGAATTAAATACATTTACAGATTTTGACGGAACGGCAAAAAGTAGAGCAAAGTAACACAAAAAAAAACGGCAAAAAAAGAAGAGCAACCTTCAACAACAACAACAACAACAACAAAAAACGAAGCAACAACAAAACAATAACAACAACAACAACAATGTCGCTGTAATTAAGGCCAGTGAAAATAGATGCTAGGTAGGCCGGTCAACAGGCGTAGTGCAGCTGCGAAGGGACACGGGTGTCGATTAGACAGGGAGAGACGAACGGTCGGCTCTAATGTGGAGACTGGGCCAAGGGATCTTCTGAGGTGGGCACCCCACAGTTGGGTGGGGTACTATTTCAATATTTTCAGACACGTGTCTTTTGTCACTTTATAAGAGTTGTAGGAGTGATTGTAGTTACTCAGGGAGTAGTAGGGCGTGTGCTTTACTGTGTAGGTACACACGCGCGCACATACACACACATATATATATATATATGTGTGTGTGTGTGTGTGTGTATATATACGTATATATATATCTATATATATATATATGTATATATATATATATTTATATATATATATGTGTGTGTGTCTGTGTGTGTGTGTGTGTATGTGTGTGTGTGTTTGTGTGGGCGTGGTGTGTGTTTGTCTAAAAATTCAAGTATAGCTAAAATCATCCTATGAAGGACTTCATCAAGACATTTGCCTTGATAAAAGCCTTCAGTAGACGAAACGTTTCAGCAAAAAAAATTTTCCATTTGTCTTTTGTCGTATATATAGATATATATATATACGTAACTTTAATCCGTCGAAGTTCTGAAATAGAATGTATATACATATGTATATATATAAAGGCTTAAACATTAATATTCCATGGTCATAATTTATTCCATTGGAATCGTAAATACGATCCAATTCATCAGACCTACAATTCAAAAATATATTATGGAATATTAGTGTTTAAGCCTGTTTATTATATCCTTACTCTGTCCTGGACATTGAGTTCTACCTGGATTCTATCCTCTTGGAATAATTTTTTTTATACAAATATATATGTATGTGTCTATTTACCACTAATATTATCTCTCTCTCTCTCTCTCTATATATATATATATATATATATATATATATATATCTATCTATCTATCTATCTATCTATATATATATATATATATATATATATATATAAAAACAAAAGGAAAACTATTCTTTACTGACTTTATCAAGGCAAAAATCACAATATAGCAAAAATCACAATACAGCCCTTGCTACCACCATCAACCAAAACATTTACCTTGATAAAGTCCATCAGCGCAGGTAAAGATAAGTTTTTTTTTAGTCATTATTCATATTGTCTTTTTACAGATATATTTTATTCATATTTTAACACACACACACACCACGCCCACACAAACAGAAACATACACACACACACACACACACACACACACACACACACACACACACACACATCTGGTAATGTATTAAATAAAGTTTCCCTTCACCCCATGGGAGGTTCTTTATCTCTGTACATCTTCCAGTCGGAAGATAAATCATTTGAATTTTTATTTATCTATTCATTTTCTTTCTCTATTTTTTTTCAATACTGAGCACTTTATTTGCGAAACCCTGCTCGCCTTGAATGCGTTATTCTTTTTCAGTGTGTCGTCTTCCTTCCCCCTTTTCTGTATCTCTTAGAATTATTCGTCTTTTTACCACCTCTACTATTAGACTTGCCATCGATTTACATAAAAACCCCAGGTAAGTGAACTCCACATCCTCCTATCTCTTTTGCCTTCCAGATGTCCTGTGTGTGTCAAACTTTCCAAGCCCTACTTCCACAATATTTATTTGAGAAATGTCAACCCTCTCTGTCTTTATGATTCTGACTGTAAGTGTCCTTAAAGTTGCTATATTCCGTAAGACTTCTTAGTTGCATCCATTCACTAAATAATACTAATGTCATTTACAAAACGTCTCCTTCGGGCATTACGTTCTCTGTGATACGCAAGCATTCGTTGAGTATATAACAACTACTATATCTTTGACATTAACTTGCCACCAAACTGAACGCTGTCCAGTTTGTGCGCGTATCATTACCATATATCGCTCGACGACAATATATCTACAATGAACCCAAACATACACTCTCTTGTTGGTAAACAAGAAAAGTTAACCAACAAAAGTATTTAAAAACCAGTTTTGTTTTTAATGAAGCAGGTATCAGTCTATATGCGGAGAAGGCAAAGAGAAATCAAGCCACTATCTTTCCCGAGAAATCATGGCATTGTATACATATTAAAGAAAAGAAAGATATTTCATTGTCCAGTGAGAATGCAGATGGCGCTAAAACAGAGTTGTGATGAAGTTGTTAAATAATACAATTCGAACGATGTTTGTTTTTTAAGATAGACACTTAACGCCATTAAAATCATTAATATATAATCTTCTAATCTGATATCTAGACATTTTGCCAGACCATTCTATGCCCACATATGAATTTTTTTTTATTTGTCTTTCCATGATCTTTTTAAGAAAACATTTATTACAATTCTCATTTAGTTCTGTTAGATAATATCAGTTCTCCTATACAGCATTGAATGATGCGCAATCTCCTCACAGACGAATAAGAAACTCAAAGTAACAGAAATGTGGTTCTACAGGAGGATACTGAGAATAACATGGACCGAACGAGGTTTCAGAGAAAATATAACAAAAAAAGAGACACTATTTACATTATTTGGACTATTGTCCTCATCTTTGTCGCCATATTTATTACAGCGTTTCGGCCGTTACACGCTCCGGCCTTCTTCAGGTGGTTAGAATGTCTTGTGGGGCAGTGTAGAAAAGACAGAGGGAAGCCACGTCAAGTAGGGGAGAAAGTGACTGTTTATGTTCGAGAAAAATCGTTGAAGGCGTGCGTTTATAAACAGTAATTCTAACTTTGCTAATCAGACTCTACTGTGTGGATGAATGTTAACAGCACGTCTGGCTAACTACGGTTTCCCATAAGGATTACAGGTTCGATTCCTGTTGGAGAACGCATATTTTCTACGAAATTTCTCGAACATTCAGGCAGTTAACGTAATTAATACGGTTTAATTAAAAACAGAGCTTTTACTAAAATATAAACAGAAAATAATCCATTTCACTATATATATATATATATGTGTGTGTGTGTGTGTGTGTGCGTGTAAATATATATATATATATATATATATATATATATATATATATATATATATATATATAATCAACAGCGAAATTATAGGTGAAACCATTAGGCACCTTGTTACTCCAGAAGAAAAAGTTAGAACGT